CCCGACGTCGCCCCCCCCCCCGAGTGAGGAGGACTCGTCGAGCCCCGCCGTGATGTCACCGGCGGCGACGTCGTCCGCCCCGTCCGCGATCTCCGCCGTGTCCGCCTCGGATATGTTGCCCTCCTTGTCCTTGGTCGTGGCAGCCACGGGGGGGTGGGGTTCGGGTTGGGATTAATTATTCATTTAAGATTTTGGGTGGCCGGGAGTTTGTGATGACTAGTCTCTCGCGACATGTGTTAGGGCTGGCTAGGGGGAAGTTTTGCTTGGTATGTTCCTCATTGTTTTACGAAAACTCAATTTTTCACAAAAAACCTTCACGTGTTACAATGCCCGGGTTTTCATAACTCATCCCGCGAAGCATAGACAGTTCTGGTGGGGCGCGGGGCCGGTTGTTTACTGCAGTCTCGTGTGTGTGCGGCCGGGTTCGGATAACTCGTCTCTCGAACCGTGAGCAGTACAAGTCGGGGGGTGCGTATGATCGCGGATGCAGAGAAAAGTTTCGGCCAGGAGGGCCGGGGTCTTTGGAAGCAGAGTAGCAGTGGCCCTGCTGCCGCCCCATGATCACTATCACCAACATGACACAACAGACGAGACACACAACCTCCCTACGAAAACACACCTCCGCCGCTTCCTCGTCGAAGAGATGCCTGGAAGATCCCTTTCCTTTTGCCCCCGCTTGCCTGTCCGCCGCCTCTTCGCCAGCATCCTTGAGGTACCGAAAAGGGGGGTCGTGAGTGTTCGAGACAGTGGCGTCTGCTGCTGTTCTTCTATTACACCGCACAGACTACAGGCATGCAAAACGAGGACTCGGGATCAAGGCCCCCCCGCTCCCAACTTGTCTTGCGCCGCCGTCCGAGAGAATACTGGCGTGGTTGACTATAGGCTCTGCTTTCTTTCTCGACTTTAACTTTCCATCGACCAAAAACACAGTGCAATACCACAACGAACTGACGATAAAAGAAAAAAAAGAACGAAAAGCGAAGGATGGACAAGCACCTCCGTGGCGCTGTTGCCAGAGCTCTTCCCGGTAGGCTTGGCGGCTGCCGTTACGGGGTTGTAGCTGAGGGTGCAAACGCCTCCGCCGATCGACAACGCCGCCACCGTCGACTTGTCCAGCCACTGCAGAGAACCAAGACATGACCAGCGCAGAGACGTGTGGTGGTGGTTGGGAAGGTTAACGGATGGTGAACTCCGAAAAATACCATCGATGGTAATGTCAAGTGTGCAATGTTCCCCATAGTGTGCCTTCTAAGGCTTGACGTTAAGGTACTTCGGGGGTTCCGCACATCACACGGTCTAGTAGCCTCGTAGCCTGCTAAGGGCCAGGTCATGGGTTCGAGTCCCGACAGAGTGAGTTTTTTCTCGCGAAATATATCCTGGTCTCCGTTGGAAGCGACGCGCTGCAAAGCTCGTTGTTAGTAAACTTGATCGACTTCATAAGTCGCGAGGGAAGGGATATGCTGTACCCTTCTCGCGATAAAAGCATCTCAGGCAGGAACCGCAGGAGGCGGTGCAACCCCCCCCTCCTATGTGACCCCGGTTGGGTGGTCTAGCTGGTAGAAGTGGAGGATAGGGGCCAGAAGCGCAGATGACAAAATCCAATGATGGGAGANCAGAGAGAAAAAAAACAGGGACGACGGCGATGGAAGCCCACTAGGACACAAGCGAGAGTCCTCTAGGCAGGAGGACTTCAACGGGGAGTGAGAGGCGGACGCACGGATGGGGGAGGCAAAGCGAGACGCTGCTGTCGGCGAGCAAAGCGGGTAGAGGGCAGACCCGCAGGAACGGGGTACGATCAACACGAAACAATCGACACAGACATCTAGGAAGACATTGCGGTAGAACAAAATAACGCAGACACGAAAGGACAAAAGAAAACAACGCGATAGAGAAACTTCTTGTGAGAGAAAGAGAGCGAGAGAGCGGCAACAGCGACGGCGACAGCAGCAACAAGATCGAGGACAACAACAGCAGTCACAACAGACTCTTGGTCAACCCAACAACCGGAAGACGACGACGAAGAAGAAAAACAACACCAACATCGATCAACAGAGGAGGCCCCGCGCCATGGGTCCCTCCCACCTTGAGGTGTCGCCAGTTCTCCTGGTCCGTGTTGACAAAAGTCTTCACTGCAAGCCGCTCCTCCACGTCCCACACCACCAAGCGTCTGGATAAGATTCAATCAAGGGTTGGGATTGAGACGGAAAAACACAGTTCAAAGGCGTCGGCGGTGGCGACGGCTCGGGGCTGTCTGTCTCATGGTTGTAGATGCGATGAAGTCGCTCAGGATAATCTCCGCCCGCGTGTTGTGGCTGACGCGCTCTATGCCCTCGAGAACCAACACGCCTCTCCCGCCATGGTCGGCAGAGCGCCAACTGCAGTGGCACCGCACACTTCCGCCTAGCTGCAGCAGAACGGGCACCTGAAATGTGTCCCTTGAACCCCCTTGCAACCAAACCATACGCGCGAATACACCAAAGACAGCAACACAGGAATATCTGTCGTTGTCAGTTACACGTAAACACCAAACAGTTACAGAACACCACCCCGAAGGGTAACAAAAAAAGCGGCACAACTGCCTGCCGCTTTCGGTTTTCCCGTACCCGTCGAGGGCGGCCGTGGCGAGGTGCCGCCCGCCGTCCGGGCTGAAGGCTGCGATGGTGATTTCCTTGGTGTGCCCCCCGTCTTCGGCGTTTTCGGGGACGATGATCGACCTGCCCGTCGTTTGCGTCCGTTCGGGTGGGGTTGGTCGTTGGTTGATGTTGTTGGTTGCTGCTGTTATTGGTGGTGTTGGTGTTGCTGCTCATCGTCAAGCCGGTCGTCCCCCAAAAAAGAAACTCCAGATTGATTCTCAAACTGCTCCTTCCCACCAGTCCTGCACGGGAACACCAGTGGCATCCAAAACTAAAAGCAGGAATAGCTGCTTCTGTTCGAAACCGAACTCGAGGGCAATGGCCATGCTCACCGTTTCCACGAGTCGCGCATGAGCATGAGGGGGTCCGCGGCGCCCGTGACGCTCAAGCTCTTTCCCTGAACAAATAAATGCCATTGCATGCCAACAAGCAGAGAAAATCCAAAACACGAATATGAAACACGGCCGATCCAATGTCGAATTAGGGTTTTTGCTGTCTGTTGGTGTTAGTCTTCGCATAAAAAAACGTTCCGGTCTCTGCCACGATACATCTAACATCCGCCTGCCGTGGGCGAAACGGGTCATGCATGGGAACATATCACGGAAATCAAGCAAGCACGCATCTCGGGAATACAACGTACCCCTCCCGCCACCCACAACCGCAACAACAACAACAGCAGCAACGACAACAACAACAACAACAACAACGACACGATATTCTCAGATGAGCGTAACTCACGTCTGGGTGCCAAGCGAGCTTGCCGAGGTGCTCGAACTCCGCCGATCCCCCCATCGCCTCCTTGACGAAGTAGCTCTCCGACATAACCACCTCCGTGCTCAGATCATCCAAGGAGGGGTCGACCCTCCACACCTTCACAGTCCCGTCGAAGCCTGCCGATGGGCGGAGAAGAAAATGAAAAACACACAACATGCTTACCATCGTGTGAGGGAGGTACGAAGGCCGGGATTCGACGACATGGGGGTGGTGGATGTTCTAAGGATGTGTGTATCCTGCACCCTCCTCGACTTCCGTTGCTCGGTCGATTGTTGTGTCGCCCATGCTACGTTGTTGATGCTGGTCGTTGTTGCTTGAACCTTAAGCACCGCCTAGCTTTCCCTAGTCTGACGCGGACGCCTTCCGTAGTCGCAGGCAAACTACTGGACGTTATGTTGTACGTGTAGTGCGAATCGAATGGACGCGAAGAGGAATACGCCAGAGAGAAGCCCGGCAAAGAACGTTGGACGTCGCATGTTGCGCGAGAAAATGCTGTAGTGCAAAACAGGAAAATATTTCCTCGAAGTACTTGTACTTTCATGGGAGCAAGACAACACCATCAAGCAACAGAAAACACCAGCAGATTAGTACCTGAGGCAGCAAGGAAGTCCCCACAAGGGTCCCAGTCGACGCTTTTCACGCCCCCGCTCATGTCGGTGAGGGTAAGAACCTTGCTGTTGTTGCTCCTCCTGACAACTCGGATTCCCGGCTCCTCGCTGCACGCGGCACTGCAGAGTAGTAGGGGGTAGGGGGGGGCATTGGGGGCTCGGGTAGGTGGGGGAAAGGGTCATGAAAGCAGTCGCCAGCAAGCAAGGCCGTGTACCACATACATTGCACGAGAGCGGCTCGGCACAGACAGGGAGAAGGCTCACATCACGTCCCCGTCCTTCATGCCGTAGGCCAGGCCGAGCACCGGTGCCGTGAACCTCGTGAGCATCGACTTGAAGTCCAGCTTTGGAAGCCCGTGCAGCTTGACGTCCCCGTTCCTGAGGCCCACAGCCAGCTCGTCGCCGGCAGGGCTGACGGCCACGGCGGTGACCGCGAGGCCCTCGTCCCCGTCGTCGTTGACGTCGAGGTTTAGCTCTGCCACGGCGTCCTGGATGCTCGAGCTCTTCGGGTCGAACACCTGTCGGTTGTGGTTATTTGTTGTGTGAATCTATATCTTGGGGTGTGCTGAGCTATCAAAACGTTGCGCTGAATACCTTAGATTTGCTGAGCTACATTGTACGGTGTATACGGCGAGTGAGGATGGCTGACGATCTTTCAAAGTGAGCACCAGCTTCCGAAACAGGTCCAAAATCCATTGCGATGAACGAAAGCATCGCAAGGAGGGCAGCCCCCCCCCCCACACGCATGAGTGAACCGACGTCTTTTTCGATGGGTCAGCAGTCGGCAAGCGCGGTCGATGCCATTCACATCAGTGCCACACATGTGGTTACATCGATTCGGAGCGGTTACCTTTATGGGCCACAGGTGTCAGCGCGCTGACTACTTCGGTCTAAGGGAAAGACCCTCTCAGCAAACAAAATAAAGGCTTTTGGGGATTCTGTTTCCATGGGTCTAGCCCGTCTAACCTCCAACCTAGACGCACGAATGGTCCCGAGAAACGCCTCCAGCGAAGAAGGTGGGCGTTGCTTTATGTTATTATTAGTCTATGATTTTTTTTGAAACAAATATAACCCATCGTGGGCGTTGCTTTTTTCAGTTTTTCTTGTCACGAGAGTCGGCAGGGATTCGTCTTGCAACGGGTCAAGAGAGCAGCATGGGGGGGTATCAGGGGCAACAATGCACCACCCAATTCATCAAGTCACCGTCATGTCCTCGAAAGTGACAATGGTCAGCCAAACCTGCAAGGAAGCAGCATGCCACACCGCCTTGCTTACCGCGCGGCGCTGGTGGGCGCTCTGGTGCTCCTTGGGGGTGTTTGGGATTTCAAAAATTGCCTCGTGCGTGGTTCCCAACAGAGATAAGAGAAAGAGCATCGTAAACCGCCTCACCATCACCAGGCTTTGCTCCCACCTTGACCGTGCCTTCCGCCCCACCGGCGAATATCCTCAAGCCATCGCTTGTCGTGGCTGCATCCATGTCGCACATGCCCGGCCCACAAGCAAACCATGCCTTCACTCCCTCGGGCTCGGACATATTCTTGCGCAGACCTTCCTGCCTCTCTCGGTCTTTCGCTGGCGAGGAATGAGCAGTATCACCACTTCTGTGGTAGTGATTGTGGTGTACGTGACACGACGTACTGTGTAGGTGTCGTGACTTCGCTCTGCCACCGTAGCCCAAGATGGAGCAGGGAGAGAAACAGAAATGATGTGCGCATCAACGCGCAACAGCAGCGCGGGAGTTTTTTTTGAAAATATGCGGCGCAATTAACCGTCCGGTGCGGGAACGTCTGATTGGTCAAGACCTCTCAGCCTGTCAGCGAGAAAAAGAAGGGCACGATAGCAGGGCTGCCCACATGTACACACACGGCGTTCGTCGCCGACCCCAACCTCATGGTAGCCACGAGAGAGAGGGTGCGCTCAGCGGCTGCTCGATCAACGGTGACCGCAGATTCAGCCTCCAGCAGTGACGGGGAGGGATCTTCACCAACCACTTGGAATAGCGACACTGCCTCAGCTGCGTCTTCCTTCTCTCAGGAGCGAGGTAACAAAATATGCAAGAAAATATGCATCTCTGTCGACGACTACTTGTGCCCACGGGAGAAGGCTGCGAAACTTCTACTGGTGTACTTGGCACCATCTCCTTGCTGATCGAAACCCTTAGTGTACACCTCGTGTTCAATTTTCTGTCGGCCGTCCGGTTTTTCAAATGGGACCGGACTCTTTTGTTTTGTGCAGCAGTGCGCCAAGAAGCCACCCGACCCGCTTTTGTGTACCCCAGCAGGCACCGTCGCCCAAAGCCGCGTTAACTGCTGTCGTCGGCTGTTCGGCTAAATTGTTTCGTTGTGTTGGACGTTCCGGCCGGCGTTTCGCGTTGCCCTGATGAGGAGTGGGCGAGGTAGTTTTGCACGATCCTTTTCTTGCTTCTATCTCTGCTGGAACAGTAACTTGTCGATGCTTGCCTACCGTTTACGTGGCTACACCCGCGGCTCTGCAGGCTCTGTGTGCCATTTCTCTTACCAAAAATGGTGCGTGGGTCAGAACCTACATACACCCAAATCACAACCACGGCAGGATCACACTCACAGCTGGCTTTTCTAGAGAGGATGCATGTGTAGACGGGGTCAACATGGTGGACACCTCACTCTCCAGTTACGCCGCCGATGGTACAACCAATAACGTGACAGTTTTTTTCGCGCAATATTTCGCCCAAGCTAAAATATGTAGTGCGGGAAGGGCAGAGGTAACTGGAACCGTGATGGAAGTCGTCCTGTGTGCGTATCGTTCGTGCTTTCGTTCGTGCTTAGGTTTCTCTGGTTTTCCTGAGTGCCTCGTGCATGACAGGCCTCTGTCTTGTTCGAAGTCTCCACCTCTTCCAAACCCCGACTGGCGCTGAGGACAAACCATCTTCAAAGAATATGGCCTGGTTCTCTTGGTCTCTGCAGCCGTGCTGCGTACCACACTGAGGGTGTCCGCCAACGCGCCACACAAAAGTTCTGGACACGTTTGCGTAGCCCCCCCCGGGGAACTTTCCAAGTTTCCAAGAAAGTTTCCACGAATCACCGAAAAAGCACAAACCATTCGATGAGCGTTGGCGGCCTTCGGGCATTCGGATGTTCGGATTCGACAATTCTGCAGCGCAGCACAGCATTGTTTTTTTCCCCCCACTGTGCACGTGTTAATTCCACTCTGTGTTTCCCCCTCTCCTTCCGATCAACGGGGCTCATGAAACGCACAGGTTGATGCACGGCTCCCCCCCCCCCCCCCCCCCCCCCCCCCCCCCCCCCCCCCCCCCCCCCCCCCCCCC